GAAAATCCCATGCACTATAACGAGAATCGATTTCGGAGGGGGGGGGGGGGATGCCTTAAATTAAAAATATCTTATGAATTTCTTAGCAACATGAAATCCATCTTTATTTCTACTCCATACTTTTGTTTCATTTCAGTACCAATGCGTGCAAGTTCTATTGATATTCATCCTAATGCAACATGGTCAACGAATGGTATCACTGTTGCTGGAGGAAATAGACAAGGCAGTAAAACCAATCAACTCGGTAACCCATGGGGTTTGTACGTCGACGACGATCAAACGATTTATGTTGCTGATTTGTATAATGACCGTATTGTGCAATGGAAATCTGGTGCAACGAATGGAAAAGTAGTTGCTGGTGGAAATGGAGCTCATCAATTAAATCGTCCAGTAGATGTGATTATCGACAAAGAGAGCGATAGTCTCATCATCAGCGATAGAGGGAATAACAGAGTAGTTCGATGGCCTCGTCGAAATGGTATTCGTGGAGAAACAATTATTTCAAATATCTCTTGCATCGATTTGACAATGGACGACAATGGTTCTCTCTATATCGTTGACGCAGGAAAACGTGAAGTGAGACGATATAAAATTGGTGACACTCAAGGAACAATAGTGGCAAGTGGCAATGGAAAAGGAAATCGTCTCGATTAACTCTCTGAGCCCCGCTGCGTATTTGTCGATCGAGAATATTCAGTTTATGTGTCTGATAATGGAAATCATTGTGTAATGAGATGGGAAGAAGGTGCAAAACAAGGCATTGTCGTAGCCAGCGGTCAAGGACAAGGAAATAGTCTTACACAATTGAATTATCCTAATGGAGTCGTTGTCGATCAATTGGGTACTGTCTATGTGGCTGATTCTTGGAATCATCGAATCATGCGTTGGCCAAAAGGAGCCACACAAGGAAGTGTCATTATTGGTGGGAACGGTTATGGAGCACAGTCGAATCAACTCGCTCATCCCAAAGGTTTATCATTCGATCGACATGACAATCTCTATGTCGTCGACTTCAATAATCATCGAGTACAAAAATTTAATATCGCATAAACCCAATTCGTATGATTAAGTTTTTCTCTTTCAAATAAATTGCGATTGAATGAAAAAATGTATTCGAATTTATTCTATTCTCGCGCATGCGACCAGGAACTACTCGGGTGGAGCCATGGCGAGCGTAATGCTCATGTACGCGTGGGAAGACCCACATCATTCACATGCACCCATCCGATGTCATATGTCAGTGAGTCTGGGGGTCCGATCGTGTTGTCATGGACACCAAAGCAGTTTCTGGCCGGGCTTTTAGGGACTACCCGGAAGTCCTTCTTATAACGCGAAACCCTAATCTCAATGTATCTCACTCACCCTAACTAGTCTCTTCTAAAAAAAAAAGAAAAAGAAAAAAAAATTAACTCACCTGTTGATGTTGAATGATGATGTCTTTAAAATGAAAAGAAAAACATGAATATAAAAGATCACAAGAGGACTTACCATCCTCTGTATGGTCCAATAAAGAAAAAAAAATAAAACGAATACCTACATTGTTTTGTTGAATTGTATTGAACTGAATTGTATAATTTTGTATTGTTGAAACCAATCTAAAATACAAGTAACGCTCGTCGCTGTGACTCGCTCAACCCTCGACTGAAGCATTAAAAGTATTTATATGCTAGTACACTTTATCGAGACATCTACTGACAATATCACACATTTGCATCTGTATCAGTTTCTGTACTTTTATCATTCTCATAATTCAGTATAAAAAGAAAACAATCAAACTATTAATCTGAAGGAATCTGTTTACCTGAGTTCACAACCAAAAACCGGCGCAACTCCGACTTAAATCCAACCGTTATGCGTACCTTCAGAGGCAAAATTAATTCACCACAGATTGGTGCTCATCACACTGTTCACAAATCACTAACGTGGATGTAGATGATCAACTAGGTCTCTTCACTGTCCCAAGTTTTCTCCCATTTAGATAGGTATTTCTCAATCACAGAGTCTGAGATGAGGCAATTCACTCTTCAATATATCCTAATACACTCTACTATAATATTCCCATCGATCTTCATAACGTCCCAACACAGAGCGCCTAACTGCACCTATGATATTGGTCTTCAGCATCCAGTGGTGCTCCCACAATATAAAACTTCAATACCTAAAGGTACCCCAACAATATCCAACGAGAAGGGCAATGGATACCTCCACCATATATTACATCAAGTCCCATCGACACAATTAGCGTATAGTAATCAACGACCTATCAGTACCGTCATAATATAGGACTTGAGGGCCTATGCGTACCCCTATAGTATAGCAGTTGAGGACCCTAGGGTACCCCTATAGTATAGCACTTGAGGACCCAAAGGTATCCTTCTGGTTTACGAGTTGAGGACCTATAGGTGCTATCGGAATGTAGCGGAAGATTTGGCGACGTATCGAGAAGCTCCAGTGTTAGTGTTTTTTGAGCTTTGAGCTTTGACCCTGACACAAACCCACAAACAAACAAACAAACGAAGAAACTATTTTTTTTCATATGACCCTCTCTACAGTCGAGAGAATGATATGATGGATATATATTTGTTAAATAACTTAATATATATTTTTTTTCAATTAATTTTGATTCAAATTTTCGATGAAATATTTTTTTAAAAGACCATTTTTCTTGAGATATAATATCTCTTGCAGAACGATGAGTGCCCATTGCACCAACCATTGACTAGAAAGAATTATTCTATACCATCTACAATAACAACAACAACCACAACGACACACACCAAAGAAAAGAATTTTATTAATAATATCGATATGCGGAAAAACAACACACACACACACACATATAAGAGAAAAAAAACTGTCATTTCTTCGTCTAATAGCATCTCATGTCTATCCAAAATTAGCTCCTGTCCAAATCAACTAAATCATAACTCTTCAAGAATATAAATAACATATTTTATGTGTCTTTTAACCATTTATTAGATTTATAAATTAACATTTGTTTTTTTTTCATTCTTAACTTTTATTAAATTATCAAAAAAATAAAATAAAATGTTTTTTTTTGTTTTATTAATAATTAAATTAAAGTAGATTCATTTTATTTTACTGAAGTTTTATTTAAAATGAATATATTAAATAAATTATTATTATTTTGCTAACTATATAGTTTAGAAGAAAAAAACTGGTAAATTTCTATATTCTAAGATATCAAAAGATTTTATAAGAGTTTAAATAATTAGGAAAAGCTTGTCACAATCTTTGCTTTCTATTTTAAATAAGATTAACAGAAATAAGAACAATTAAGTGGTTTTGACTTTTTAACCAATCAAAAGTGTTGATAGATGCATTAGTGTGTTGATGATCTTATTGATTTGATCTAATTAGATAAAAAAATCAACAGGAAGTTTTCAATTTTAATCAAGTAAATTTAAACTATTTTTCAATTTTAAATAAAAAAGATTTAAAAAAAAAACAAATATTTTTGATCGATTGATACGTGTAACGAAAAATTCTGTTGAAGAAAAAAAAGTAGATTTTGTACGATTGAATAGATATTTAATATAATGAATTTAATCAGGTATTAATTGAATTGAATCTCAATTCTGTTAAATAAATAGAATTGATTTATTTACTAAATGATAAAATTCATTATATTAATCTATTATTTGAATAAAAGGTTTAGTAAATCTTTATTCTCAATTGATAATATTTTCAATTAGATTATCTAACAAATAAATTTATAAAAAAAAAACTTTTGAATAAATATTTGATGATTGATATACATTGACATATAAATAAATAAAATTGAATGAAAAAAAAGATTTTTTGTTTTCCACTTGATCATAATTAATTTCCGTCTTCTCGATAAATAATAAATGAAATTGTTTTTTAGATAATATAAATATAAATCAAATTATTTTAAATGATAGTTCATTTAAAAATAGTATATCTATCATATAAATACAAATATTATATAAAATAAAAATACTTTTTAAACTTTCTCCTTATGATGTAATCATCGATTAAATATTTTTATTGGAATAATTCAATAAATATCGATCTTAATCAATTGAGAAGGAAAATATTTTAAATAATTTTATTTTTTAGGAAAAAAAAAATCTTTTATTAAATTTCAATATAAATGTTTAGTTATTCTATGGAGAGTAATTCACTTAAATAAAAGTACTTGAGGGTGTGGGTGTGGGTGTGACTGCTTATCTATTTAACTATATAGATACTTCTTCTCTTTATATGAAATACTTCTACATTCATGGGAATGTTTATTTATTCATATATTTTTTACGCATTAACTAAATGATTATCTAACTAAATATTTATTTATTTGCTATTTATTAACTAATGAATTAATCTATTAATTCATTTGCTTATAAAATTAACTATCTATTTATTTATTTGCTTACGAAAAATTCTCTATATTTTTACCAACACAAAAGCACCTATATTTATTTATCTCACAGATTTCAAAGAAATCAAAAACTATTTTTATTTTAAAACGTTTTTCTTCAACTCCTCTACGTATACGTCATTCTTTATTGCACATGGCTCTTAAAGACATGTTATTTCATATTATCAACCTACAAAATTTCACTTTACTTTATATATTACAATTTTGAGTGAGGGTGTGAGTGTGGATGTGGGTGTGGTGGGTGTGGTTGAAGGCAAGATGAACACTCACACCCACACCCCACACTCCACACCCACACCCACACCCACCCACACCCACACCCACACCCACACCCACCCACACTCACACCCACACCCACACTCACACCCACACCCACACTCGCACCCATACCCACACCCACACCCACACCCACATCCACCCACACCTACACCCCACACCCACACCCACACCCACTTTCAAAATTATGAAAGTCTTCGCAATGCTTATGATGTACAATTTATTCGAAGTGCTACAGTATTTGGTAAAGGTCTTTTTTTTTTGTTCAACTTATATTTAATAAATATTTTTATGTATTAAAGGATTTAATAAATCACCCGAAGTATGGTCGAAATTATTGTATGGTACTGAAGAAAATGAATTATCAATGGAATTAATTCTTAATCAATTGTCAACCAGATATTCATTTTCAAAATTAATTGAACAATTCGGAAGTCTTATACGATGTGGTGATGATTCATCTGAACAGTTATTAAAAATAAAAAAAGAATTTAAAGCTTTATGTCAACTTGATTTTACAAATGATAATCCAGAACAAATTTCTAATAATGAAGTATTTTTTTCAACTTGGATAAAAATTGTTTCATCATTAGACTCGATTAAACATATTTTAAAATCATTAATTAATTTTAATAAACAAAAAATAAATAAAAGTGAGTCATTTCTTCTTTTAATTTTTCAATTAATTTTTCCGTTATATCATTAAATACAAACGTATTTTTTTTGTGATTAATAAAACTACGAGTGTCTAAAGTGTAATGCTGAAATTAGTGTTAGAGTTAATTCATGCGTATTCCAACCCATTTTAGGAAAAAAAATTATCAAGTTTTGTGTTAGTTACACGTACAGACAGATTTCACGAAAAAAAATATGAAAGTGAATATTTAAGATTCAAGTCATTTTCTTGGATATATTTAAGTAGGAGACGGATCATCTAAATTATTATAATGCTGAAAGCTCATATATTTTACCTAGAGATAGAAACCCGATAGATTAGCACAGTTTCCAAAAGATTCTTTTTTGTTTTTCAATGTATTATGATGGGGAAGCACAGCTGTTGGATAATTTTGATTAGAATGTTTTTTTTTCCAGGGAATACGTAAAATTCTCTGTCCTTAAAATCTTCTGTTTAGAACAAAATACATTCAGAAAGAGAAATCGTTTGCCGGTTATGCTAATCTATGAGCTTCCAACTCGTGGACAAATTAAGAGATTTAAGCATTACAATATCTTCTGTGATCCTTCTCTTCGTTAGATGTTCATAGAAAACGACTTAAATCTTCAGTATTTACTTATAAGCTTTTTTTGATCAAATTTATTTTCTATTCACTGTACTCATGCTGGATACAAAAACTTGATAAAAGAAACTTTTCTCAAAAACTGGTTTGGTACCTATTAATTTATCTATTAATACTATTAAAAGGTGTACGATTTCCTAAGATATTTTTGTAAAAAGATATTCAAAATGATTACAAAATATTATACAAAAATTAATCTTTTTTAGTAATGGATCCATATGTAAAACGTCTTGAACATTTAATTAATCGTCTTGATATTGTAACGATTCGTCTACAATCATCAACTGGTGTTCCATTTGGTGATGGAGAATATAAAGAATATCCAATACCAGAACAATTTAAAATATGTTTACAAGATAGAAACAACTTGTTACTGTACCAAATGAATCATCTGGTTTTTAAAAACAAGGGATATTAATTATAGAAATGACACATTTTGAATGCTTTAGTTGTGCTATTTGTATTTTATTTGTCTTATATATTCTTTTTTTTCCTCATTTCATTATATTAACATAATCTCAAAAAAAGAAAAAAACAGAATACAACTCATAACCTTGATTTTTATTCTGCATTGATGTTCTGATCTTTTTATTGTGTACTCAAAGGTGAGTACACTCTAGAATCGGTCAGTGTGTCCGGCCGTCTGTCCGTTTACACGATAACTTTTGAAAGGATAGTCAGATCGCGATGAAATTTTCCACACAGTTCAGTCTTAACAATATCTCGGTCGAGAGAAGAAGATGAGAAGGATTGGTCGAACCATTGCTGAGTTATTGCAAAAATAGATATTTTTCCCTATGAGAAGATAGACCCTTCTCTGTTTTCATAAAAAACTTTTCCTTGAATAGTCAAATAAAACCCCAAGTATTATATACCATTTGATAGAGAATTTCACGAGCTACATAATGGTATATAAAACACAAAGAAACAAGAAAGCTAACTCGCCTATTGCAAAGATAATTAATCGGAATTCGGTTCTGTTTTTGTCCACGCTCTATGTGATCCACAATTCGAGCTCTATCTTCCCATCATAGAGATGATAGTTTGAGGTTTTCTAGAATGGAGAACTCAAATCTATGTTCCATTCGCCTCGAAGTCCCATTGGTTGAGCGGTGACCAATAGAAATCAAGTTATAGGAAAAACGAGTTTCGTTAGGGTAAATCAAGGTGAAGAGTTGAAACCTTCTCTGTATTTGCCTCCAAATCGTATTGGCTGAGCAATAGCCAATAGAAATTAAGTGTTTACAGAAAGGGTTTGCCAGGACAATTTTGTTGTCCATACATTCTAGCGTGACTCATCTGTCTCATTCACGTTTTTGAAGTACACATAACTCTCGGATTTAAATCCGAGGTTTCCACATTTATTATTGTTATAAACAAAAATAAATGGATAAAAAAATTTCTTGATGATTTTATTTTTTTTTACAGTAAAATCTGTTTGAAGCAAACACCAATGGTTTATCATATGTAAGATATTTTGAATTTGACTATCATTTTAATCAAATTCAATATCTATTATTTGTCACCTAAAAACAAAATTCTAGTGTTATCTCTTTTGTACTGACAATAATTACTTGGCATGTATGAACTATTCTCAATTATGACATTATCTTAAATATATTTAACATATTAGAATACGATTTTGTTCTCATTCATATTAAAACATCATAAAACAAAAATCGTTCTCCTTACCGTCTTTTTGTCGAGAAACTAAATCTAATATTCTTACAATAGAAACAGCGCATGTCAATCATTTGAGAAATGACTGTAAACAACTTTTTCAACTAAAACGGATCTGCTATTGTCAGAGTTAGATAGATTATGTTCTCAACACAAGATGACCGAAGGAATTGATTCGACAATATTTTTTAGTCTTGTGTATAATCTTTACTCATAGATGTTATTTATTTTGGCTAAACACAAGAATAGATAGAAATTAGCACACAAAATCAAGTATTTTTGATATAAAACATTAGTAAGAAAATCCACCAAGATGCCATCTTTTTCTGTTCTACGAACAGTTTTCATTGACAAATCAAAAGAATTGATTTGAAAAAACACAATCACAGATAAACTATAAATTGATAAAGTATGTGAAGTTCAAATAGTTAAGCAATTGTGAAGATCTATACCATACAAGCTCATCTCTCACTTGTACAATCAATTTTTGGGTGATACTACATATTGTTATTGATTTCTCGTTTCAAATTTTTATCTTTATTCATTCTTTTTTTGTCTCTTTTCAATCATTTAATTTCAAATAGATCCATTTTCGATATATTTTATTTAAGTAATTCAAAATCAATAGCCTTACGTATACATATATCAGGAAAATAGTTTTTGATATGTTCATTGATTTGATCCATCTCATCAACATATAGAGCAGCAAGTTTAACACAATTACTTCCTGTTGTATATCTTGTAAAATAGTATGTTACTGTTTTCAATGATTGATAATGGGCACAAACATGAAGATCATTTGCCAAAAATATTTTCGTATCAAATAAAAATAGTTCAACATAATCATCATGAGTATCAGAAAGATCCAGTCGTTGAAGATTGGGATATTCAATAATT